ACCCCTTGGTTCCTGGACCCATGAATTCTGGCTATTGGAGACACAGCACCATGTATTGGCCGCTGGTTTAGAGCATATACAGCTTCCTGGAGAACTATATAAACTATCTCAGTGACCATGTATGGCACCCTCTAAGTTCTCTGGCACTCAAGACCCCATGGGAAGCTTGTCACGGGCAGGACCAGGGTGCCCAGCTGACCTCCTTGTATTCGGACATCTAAATAGACGAGCCTTCCCCACCCTCGTCTTTGCCCTCCTCTGAGACGCACCCTCCGCTCACCTACTGCGCTGCTCCCTTCCTCCACGCTCACCCGCCCCCTGAGCCTTTTTCTGGTCCTGCCCGCCTGCAGATCCTGCAGGCTCTTGGGAAGTCCTACCACCCTGGCTGCTTCCGCTGTGTCATCTGCAACGAGTGTCTGGACGGGGTGCCCTTCACCGTGGACTCTGAGAACAAGATCTACTGTGTCCGAGATTACCACAAGTAAGGAGGGGCGAGGGGCCGAGATGGACAGAAGCATGTCTGCAGGTGACCTGCACCCACAGCCCGGCGGTGCTGAGGGGCTGGGCCCAGGAGAACAGTGCAGGCCAGAACTGGTGAAAGAATCCTGTCCAGAGAAGACAGCAGAGCGGCCGCACTGCTCAGCCTGTGCTCAGCCCTCCAGACTCAGCCTCAGGGACCTGCGAGACTGGGGGTCTCCAGCTTGGTCTGCCCTCCGAAGGCCCTGGTGCCATCTTGGTGTGTGCCACCATGGGTTAGCCTGGGCCACACTCGGCTCCCACTTGGGGGATAGATAGACAGATAGAAGGCTGGGCGTCCTGCCTTCTGTAGAGTTCAGCTGGGGCCCGGCACTCCTCTCTGAGCTGGGCCAGATCCTGGGCCAGCAGTGAGGGGTGGCCGGGTCCATCGGGGAGGCTCGAGGAACGTGCTGGCAGCAGGTGGGGGATGCTCTCCAGGTGCAAGTCTTCTGGGCTTACCATACTCATGCTTGTGATGTCTTCCCCCCCCCCCCCCCCAGGGTGCTGGCCCCCAAGTGTGCAGCCTGTGGGCTTCCCATCCTTCCGCCGGAGGTAAGACACCCTTCTCCCCCTGTGGTCCCAGGGACCCCATGACCAGAACAACACATACGCATCCCGTCCCTGCCGAGGTCATGTCAAGATCTCAGCCCTGTCCCGGGACCCCCTAAACCTTCCTTAAAAGACCTTCACTCTGAGGCCAGATAGCGTCCTCGTCGGAAGCCCCTTCTCACTGGCTGGCCCCCGCCCGTCCACCTTGCTCTCCATCGAGCTCTTCATCAGGGCCACCCTGCTCCCTGACATCACTCACTCCGAGGCGAGAAGCTGGGCTGGAAGGCCGAACGAAACACCAGCCAACTGGCCCACCGAGGGTTTGTGCTTCAGCATTGGCTCCGACAGGCCCCCAGGTTCTCCCACCACCTGCAGGGGTGGGGCCTCACGTGTCCGCATGCACTACGCATTGAAGGCCGCCTGCTTGTTCCCTCAGGGAACATCCCCGCCCCAAATCCATCTGCGTGTGGAGGGAGCCCCCGGGGATGGGCCCTAACTGCCGCTTTTTTGTCGCCTGTCCTCGGCCCCAGGGCTCGGATGAGACCATCCGCGTCGTGTCCTTGGACAGGGACTACCACGTGGAGTGCTACCACTGCGAGGTAGGCCTGGGAGAAGAGGATCGAAGGGGACCCGTGGGACTTGCGGCAGGTGCCGTCCATGCTGACAGAGGAAGTGGGGGGATGCCTGGGGGTGGGGGTGGTGCAGAAGCAGCAGGTGCTGGAGGGCAGGGTGTCTGCTGTGTCCTGCCCGTTCAGAACTCTCAGGTCCTGTGGCCGCCTGCCTTCAGCTGGCCTCCCCAGAACAGAAGTAGTGGGGGGACCTTGGGGCTTTGAGTCAGGCCCTGTTTGGGGGTAGGTTGTCTGTGTGGTTTGGATAAGAGGCTCCCCTGCCCTCCAGTTTGTAGGCTGTTCTGGGGTACCAGGACCCCCTTTCTCAGCCAAGCCCTGGAAATCTTCAAATAACCCTTTCTGGAGACAGGCATGTCTGTGCCTGCTGGGGTGTGTGAAAGCGGGTAGGGGCCTGTGTACCCCTTCTTTGTCCTTGGGTTCCTCGCAGGCCAAAGACACCACTGTGGGGAAAGGCAAAGGTCAGCACTCGCCACCCCAGTGAAGGTGCAGACTTTTGAAGTGCGTCTGGCATGCCGGTCAGATTGGAAGTGGACTGAGCAGGGAAAGGAAAGTAGATCAGTACTGTGGCCTTGTGAGTGGAGAAAGGAGCCCTGGTGGTTCAGTGGGCTCCACGCTAGGCTGCTAACTGAGAGGGTGGCGGTTTGAGGCCACCAGCCACTCTGAGGGCTTCCTACTCTCCTGAACAGTTTACAGTCTGGGAACTCACAGGGCAGTTCTATCCTGCCCCATAGGGGTGCCGTGAGTCGGCATCCACTCGATTGATGGCAGGGAGTTCATGAGTCAAGTGGCTTCTACAGCAGCAGGTGGGGAGAGCTGGAAGCCCAGGTGCCACATAGTGGGATCCCACTGCGGGCACTGATGAACTAGGTGCGGGCCACCGTCTGTGGCCCTCCAGGTGCGTGGAGACAGAAGTGTCGGCATTCCCTCACCACCCCTACCCACCCATGCCAGACGCGTGCCGAGCTATGTGAATATGGGAGGTGCAGACGGCAGCCATTCGCCGGCCCTTTAGATTTTCCAGGAGTCCAGTTATACAAGAAACCGATGCGGTTTAATTTATGATCATTTACCCCAGCCCACCCTGAACATGTCAGTGTATAACCAGTATGGAAAAAAAAGAAAGTCTGTGATAATTTGTATCCTCTGAAACCTGTACATGACACTGATGATGTCTTCCTTCTGCACTGTCAAGTGTGGCCCACCTTGAACATGTCAGTATGTAACCAGTATGGGGAAAAAAGAAAGTCTGAAAAAAAAAAAGAAAGTCTGTGATACTTTGTATCCTCTGAAACCTGTACATGACACTGTCAAGTGTGGCTCTTGGTCCCATGCTGGGCAGCGCAGCCCCGCCCCACCCTGACCTCCCTCCCTCTGCTGGGCAGGGGCCCTATGTTTCTGCAGACCCCAGGTATAGGCCCTGGTGGCTCCGTGCTCAGCTGGTAACCAAAAGATTGGTGGTTCGAGCCCACCCAGCGGCCCCAAGGGAGAAAGAACCAGGCGACGTCCTCCTGGGACGATGACAGCAAGCCCCCCATGGGGCCGTTCTCCTGTGTCATGGGGCCACTCGAGTGCTGACCCCTCCACAGCGCAGGCCTTGGCCCACGCATCGCTGAGCGGCGGGTGTGCTTCCCTTGTGCTCACGCGACGTGTTTGCCTCCTGCCCCCAGGACTGCGGCCTGGAGCTCAATGACGAAGACGGGCACCGCTGCTACCCGCTGGAGGACCACCTCTTCTGCCACTCCTGTCATGTCCAGAGGCTGGAGAGAGGGCCCTCGCCGGCCGCCCTCCACCAGCACCACTTCTAACAGGCCAAGCCCCGCCTCACGACGGACGCAAAGGCAGGCACCACACGGGGAACTCTGCCAGCCAGCGTCTAATGCTGCCTCCCCAGTGGGGCTTGTGGGGAGTGGAGGTGGGGGTGCTTCTTGCCAGAATGAGGTGGTAAAACATGACTTGCCTAGGATCTTCCAAGTGCCTTTCTCTGCTGCCACCCGGCACCAGGATGCTCAGGAAGACGCTGCAGGCAGTGCCCAGCATGGGCCAGCTTGGGGCCTCCGATGAGCCCTCCTCTTGTCCCTCTGGGGGACTGTGAGGACAGCCTGAGGGGAGCTCACCTGTCAGTATGGTCACTCCTTTCCTCATGCCCTCTCGGAAAGCACCGGCACCCGAACACTACGCACACGCGTGTGCACGATCCACACCCACTGGGACGGTTACACACACCCCATTCCCACTGCCATTGGGCTCGTTCCAACTCCCGGTGGCCCACGTGTGTCGGAATAGAGCTGTGGCCGACTGTTTGGAAGTGGAGTGCCAGGTCTTTCCCCTGAGGGGTCTCTGGGTGGGCTCAAACCTGCAGCCTTCCGGTCAGTCGTCAAGGGCTCCTTCTACCCCAGAACTCCAGTTTTTCTATGGGATGGCTCCCGATTGGAGTCGCTGTAGGGCGAGAGAGAGGCTCTAACACAGCGGTTCTCAACCTGTGGGTGGAACGACCCTTTCACAGGGGCCGCCCGATTCATCACAGTGATGAATGACAGTGATGAAATAGCAACGAAAATAATTTTAGAGTGGGGGGGGGGGTCCACCACCACATAAGGAACTGTATGAAAGGGTCACGGCATTAGGAAGGTTGAGAACCACTGCTCTAACATGTCCTCAGTACCCCGAGAACTGACTTGGGGAACCAGGGGCCAGCTTGGAACTAGGTGAGCAATATGTCCCCCTTGTCCCCCGCACAGCTTCGTTGTGAGCCCCCCCACAGCTCCACTCCCTCAAAAGCAGCGGGGGGTGGGGGGGCGGCGGCAGAGGGGCTCTGTCCTGTCCACCAAAGCTTACTGCAGGAGAAGAGCTTGGTGCGGGCACCAGGCCCCCCTCCGCCCCCCCGGAGCTCTTGGGAGTCTGTGACTTGGGCTCTGCTCCAGCCCAGTCTTATCTCAGGATCCTGGGGGGGGCGGGGGGCACCTCTGTTTTAGTGTATTTAATAACGGGCTCTTGGGAATGGCCTCCCCATAGACTGAGAGAGAGCCCCATGTAAACAGGAACAGCTTTTTGGTGTGTGAGCTTGGTAAGCCAGCCGGCAGGGAAGGGAGCGCCTTGGGATAAGTTATTGTATTCGTTTCATCGGTTTCTCTCCTGCCCAGTTCTTGGCGCAGGCATGATGCTGGAAGAAGCCAGTATAAGGTACACTCTGCTTTTATCTTGTTGTCCAAGTTGCCTTCCACTTGTCTTTACACACACACACAGAAATACCTCATCGCTAAGGTGGGTAGGTCCCCCGATGGACTTCAGATACCTTGTCTTGTGTGTGAGCAATCAGCTGGCTTCCCCGAGGCCAGGCTTGGTTCACTGTCATCGTCATGACAGGCCAGCAGGGCCCAGGTCTAGACGTAGAGTCAGTGCTCTTGCTGTGTTTCAGCATTTTGAGGGCAAGGGCTAAGGACAGCATAAGGCCACCCTGCATGGTTGTGGCAGCATGGGCCCCGGAGGTCACTCTGGAGGCCAGGGGTCCGTTTGGTTGGTGTTTCCATTAGACGCAGTAGCAAGGAAGGCCAGCTGGCTGCTGTTTGCTCTCCCAGCCTGTGGGGAGGGCCCATCTCAACCCTGCCAACCACAAGGACAGCTGGAGGCTGCACCCAGAGCGAGGGGAGCCAGCCAGCAGAAAGCACCCATGGAACCTGGTGGCCTCCACCCAGTTCCGCTTCTAGGCCGGGGTCTGCTCGGGTCGCAATTGGCCCGCAGGAAGCATAGAATCGGCCCCACTCGTTTTGGTTCAATTCATTATGTGGGAATCCTTGGTCTGGAAGGCCCAGGGGTGCGCTGGCTCTGGCTCTGGCTCAGGCTGGGGTAGTGAACCCTGGGAGTCTCGCCCTCCTCATCCCTCGAATTTAGCAGGGAGGCCCTGGTGAAAGGAAACCAGGCCTGGGTTCTCCCTAGCCTCTGCCGAGCCGACCGAGGACTGTTGCTGGCTCTCCTCCCTGACCTCTGTTCTGCTCCCACGGGAAGCAGATGAAAGGAAACCCCTGTGGAGCCACAATTCGAAGGAGTGGGGATCTGTGTGCAAATTGGGCCTTCAGTTTTTTGTCCCCCTAAAATCTATGATTAACTTTTAAACTTCGGTCTTGAATGGAGTGATTCCATTATCTCTGCCAGCACACCCTTTCCCAGTGTCGAGGGGAGAGAGAGAACTTCTGGACATCCCGGAAGCACACCTTGCCAGCCACCCCCTGGGAGGACAGCAGTGGGGTTCTGGCCCTGGCATCCTCTCTGATGGACATGCCCCTCCACGGGTCCTTGCACAAAAGCTAGGAAGAGATGTTCACCCACCTGTTGTTTTAGACGGCCTATCCATTATCAGCCGAAGGGAACGGTCAGGATGTTGTAGAAGGGAAACACAAGGGCCTGGTGCTTACTAAAAATGAAGGTATGTTGTAAAAATTAGCACAAAGAAACCAGCCCGAGTCCCCTGGCCTAGGAGGAGGAGGATGGCCGGACTCCAGGCCTCAAAGCCAGCCTTCTCCCTTGCTTCATTTTAGCTCTTTGACCTTTATCCACAATCTCCTGGTTTGTCATTTTGTTGTTTTTTTCTTCCTCTTCCTAGCTTGAGCCAATCAAAAACTGCCTGGGTGGCCTGAGCCAAAGCCTGTTACCCATGCTAAGCCTGCTGTATCAGGGTTCTCTCCCCCTCAGGCCGCTGTGACTCCCTATCAACACCAGATGATACCCAGCCTCCTCTGCGGCAGATGGCACCAGGTTTTCCACTTCTCCGTGCCTTTAAGTAGTTTCCTGAGGGTCTTCTTGGTGAGCCCTGGATGTCTAAGCAGGCAGTCAAGGAATTCTGGTCACCCTCAAGACCCTGGTGGCGTAGTGGGTTATGCATTGGGCTGCTAACCACAAGGTCAGCAGTTCAAAACCTCTAGCTACTCCACAGGAACAAGATGAGGCTTCCTACTCCCGTGAAGAGTTACAGTCTTAGAAACCCAGAGACAGTTCTGCTGGGTCCGATAGGGGCCCTAAGAGTCGGAATCAACTCGGTGGCCATGAATTTGGTTTGGTTTCCCAAGACCCATTGTTGCCTTGTCTCCAAAATGAGAAACAGGAATGTGAGGGCCCGGGTAGCTGCTGGTGCCCTGGTAGAGCTGTGTGGGAGACTCATGACCTCAGAACATGATTGCTTCAAGTACTTGTTATACCTGTGTGACCCAGGAAACCACATTCTTTGTACTAACCTTAGGGCAAGAAATCTTAATTCCCCCCACTCCCCTAGTTACTCTATGAAGTAATCTTTCAGCATAATAGAGGGGAAAAAATGAGTAAAACATATTCTCTCTCTGTTGTTCTGAGCCAGAACTGGGCAGATGTGGGAAATTTTCATCTAGTGTATTTTACTATGCTGGGAAATGACTTTTCTCCGTGTTTTTTTCTCTTGCTATAAAATAATTCAAACTATTGATACTATGAAATTATTCGAACTATTGTGCCAATAAAACTCCATTAATGTTTAGACGATTAAATATTCTCCAACCGGATGGTAATTACCTGGTGTGTGTGTGTGTGTGTGTGTGTGTGTGTGTGTACGCGTTCAGTGGATCTGCTCTTATAGAGCTCTGGGTTCTTAAAGGCACATGTGGGTACTGCCAAGGGTCTGAGGGTTTACCTTCCTTGGAAACTAACCATGTGGCATCCTGAAGTCCCATGGCGGCTGCCAGGAACGATGGGACTCGTGGGCCGGGGACAAAGAAGAGCATATGACAGCAAGAGCAGTAGACAGAGGATTCGCATTTACGCCCAGTTCTCCAAGTCCAGGGACTGGTTATGACAGAAGTTTTATCACTTTGCCCCTGTATACGCTTACAACCTCCACAGAGAAGGGAATACCTATGGATACCCATGAACACACACACAGTATTGGTCAGCGTATTTTGAGGGGGACACAATTCGATGCAGCCGGATGTCATTCGCAGGTTCTGGGCATCAGGAAAGGTGCCCTGGTGGCTTGGTGGCTTAACACATTCATGAAGCCACCAGTCATCCTGTGGGAAAAAGATGAGTCTCTACTCAGTTACAATCTCGGGAACCCACAGGGGCAATTCTACCGTGTCCTCTAGAGTCATGAGTTGGGACCCACTTGATGGCAGTGAGCTTTCAGAGTTTTGGGGACAGGATGTGGACAGCTTCAAAGGGTCATTCATCCAAGCACAGAGACTGGCAGTACCCCGGAGTAGTACTTGTGCCTTTTTTTCAAGTCCTGTGTTGGCAAATTCTGCTCATTTGGAAATGTCTTGATTTTCCCTCATTTTTTTAATGACCATTTTGCTGGCTAAAGATTCCTGGTTGGTGATTATTTTTGTTCAGTATTTTATATGGCACTCCATTGCCTTCTGAGGAGAGCTCTGCGTCACTTTCTTGAAAAAATGATAATTGCATTTTTTCATTTATTTAGATGTGTAAGGTCTTGCAAACCAGGTTTTAACAAGCTGGTGAACACTCACAAATTATTTCTCCCCCAGAACTGTAACCACACATTCCCAGACAATATAAATATATGAGGGAGTACCTCTCAAAACTGGAATCCCCCCGCAAGTGATTTTTTTCTTTTTTTTTTACAAAACAACCTTATCACCTTCAAGGTACTCTCCATTACACTTAATGCATTTGTCAAATCTGAAATTCCATTCTTGGAAACATTTTTCAAACTCATCTGTTTGGACAGCTGACAGCACCCCCCTCATTTTTTTTTCTTCACCTCTTCTACACTGTCAAATCACTGTCTTTTCATGTCCCTCTTCATTTGCAGAAACAAAAAGAAGTTGCATGGAGTGAGGTCAGGTGCGTGGGGCAAGAGAAGCATGCTGTTTTTGCCAAAAGCTGGCACACGGAGATGGATCCGTGAGCAGGTGCATTGTTGTGATGGCAAAACCAGTCTGCCACAACCAGGCCTTTTTTGCCGCACCCTACTATGCAGTCTTTTCAGAATCTCCAGATAGCTTGATTAGCAGTCTGAGGAGCTCCAAATGCACTATGAGTCGACATTGTTGTCTGTTCGGGAAGTTGACAGATGCCCAGAACAAGGTTTGTCGTCAATCAACATTTTACCTTTTCTTGAAAAGAGAAAAGCACTCGTACACTTGAGTTTTTCCCCTTAGCACTGTCCTTAAAAGCTGTGTTCAATATCACAGTGGCAATTTTCCTGAGCAAGAAATTTCACAGCCACATGCTGTTCGCTTAAATCGGCCATCACAAAAAAACAAGGTTTGAGTGAAACTGCTTTTATGAAAAAATTCACTGTGACCAGGGAACCTTCCCAGGTGATGCCACTGCATGCACTAACTCAGAGCAAGTTGCTCAGTGCTCACCTACTGGGAAAAATGTGTGCTATGAAAGCCCCACCCAGCAGGACTTTTTACTGCTTTTTGGGGGGTACCCCTAGTATAATTGAACTAACATTAATACACATCACCATTTTATCAATTACACAATAAAAAAGTTATCGAGTACCCAAATATTAAGTTACACAGCTCAAAAGGCATATA